CCTGTCTTTCAAGTCTTCCATCATAGCAGATGACTCGTCCTTGACATGCTGTAGCTTTTCCTTTTTCTGAGCCTCACTCAAGGCCCACAAGTCCTCCGCTGCAGCCAAGTCATTGCTTAATCCTTCCATAGTTTTCTTAACTTCTTCCTGTATACTCCTTTTTATAGACATGATGTCAACTTCCATGTCATGTCGCAAATATTGTAAATCCTTTTCGAGATTTTCCGTTCTCGACCGCCACAGTCTACCTTCCTCATCAAACCGCAGTTTGAAACCATCCAAAGAGCCCTTAAGTTCGATGACAAGTGCCTGGAGATTAATAAAGTCGTCTTCTAAAGGTGCCAATGCCCGAGTGATGGGACTCCCAGAAAATTCTCTCTCCCTGTGACGAAAATCTAACCAATAGTCTGACCGAAAATCTGCTCGAGAAGCTGCTCGAGAGCCTCGAGAGTCCGATGTTAGCAGTTTCTTAGAAAGGTCCCGAAGCCTATCTGTCCCAGACCTGTCTTCCAGACTTCCAAACCTCCAGCGGCCATCTCTGTCACCTTCGTCGTGATGGCCACAGGACGAACAAGCTCTATGGGACTCCTCCCAGAACTTCGGAACTGCATGACGAGGTAACGTCAGTGTCAACTCCTTGCTGTACTTGCACTTATAAACCGTTAGTAGAGGTAAAAGAACTTCAGGAAACAAAACCTGCTGAGCTCTTTCTTGGGCTCCTCAAAGGACTCTTACTCTTCCTGGCCGGCGATTTTCTTGAGACCGGCGACACAGAACGCCTGCTCAATGGAGCCTCACTCAGTCTCGTCGACCAATCTTCCCAAGTTTCCCGCTGCTTAATTGTCTTCTTCACACTTTTTCTAGCCTTCTTTGGTGACTTCACTGGCTCAACATGCAGTCTTGATGTCTTTGGTGCTCTTAACAACGCTCGAGGAGGCTTGAGTTTGGAAGTCGTCCTCCTGCTCCTGTACGGCGAGTTTCTGCCGTGCATATCGGGCTCAAGTTGTCTGATTCTCTTCTCGACGTCAACTAGGACGATTTGAAGGTCCGCAATCTGGCTTTCCCCTCTGTTCAGATGGTAATTCGGATGGCGCGGGATCGTCGACAGCAACAGTGCCTCAAACTTCTTCAGGTGCCCAAGTTCATCTACGTACAGTCCTGCTTTCCGTGAAAAGTTTGCCTTCTTAAGACACAAGCGCGCACTTCGACAATAATAACTCAATGGCAGGGCTGGCTGGTCCATTACACCGACATTGCTCTATCCCTGGCAGTATATCAGCACTGAACATAAGACTTTCGGGCGTTCCTTTTCGTTTCCTTTGAGTTGGTAGAATGGATCAGCTCTGGATAAAGGCTAGTCCAGCTTCCAACGGCCGACAAGAACAAATGCTATGCGCTTTCTTGCAGCAGTTAGACCTATGTTTTTCATCAGCTGAAATTGCCGGTAAGTTATTCCAGTTGAAAACGGAGCGTAAAGAACGGAATCGAACCGGGTTTTTCAGGAACAACATCACTCGAATTCAGTTGAATGAGGATCGAACCTAAACCTCAATGCTTTTGGTTCGAAACTGATACATGAAAGCATTCGTAGGTACAAAATCTGAACTTTGCCAACTACGTTCAGCCGAAATCAATACATTTATCTTACAAGTGAAGCATCTTTTTGCTTGGAACAGATAACGTTTGTTATGAATCAATGAAAGTCGATTATCCTTTTCAAACGCTTCGATCAGGCCAACAATGTTTTCTTCACGTTTATGAAGTCCCACTTCGTCGGCTACGATCAACAGAATCCCAAGCCAACGCCTAAATTCAAGGTAAAAAACCAAGATACATCCTTGCCGTAAAAACTCTTTGGCTGCTGGCTTTTGGAAGCTGTTTTCTTTCCACTGCAAAAGGGAAAATCATGAGCTTATGATTGCTTATGAGACGCTACGTTTGTTGTTCTGCATTCTGGGGATAGCTTTTCAAGTATACGCAGACAAGACATACCGCTGGTCTTGTAAGGCAGCAGACATACCACTGCATCGAACTAATCCTCTGCGGCCATAATATAGTAGCTAATCAATCATAAGAACAAATTAACAACTATTTTATGTGATTAATAATTAGTTATGTTTTACTCTACCGCTTTGTCCACTCACCTATCTTTGGTTTTGGCGTTGGGCTTGCGAAGATTCTTCCCAGTAAGTGCTCTTCTGCTTCCTCCTTTGGCTGGCCATTCCACATGAACTGAGTGACATCGTCCACCTTGGACAGCTTGAGCAAAAGCTTATCATCTACTTCTCCTTCGAATGGTTTGATCTCGATGCCTGAACCTCTACATTAGCCTCTTCAACTCATGCTTAACCTTTATTCTACGCACGAAACCGGTCCTTGTCCTGATGCAATCCTCAATGCCCTGACAACGCAGTAAGCCATTGCCATCTTGCTCAAGAACGCCTCCAGTGCTCATGTTCTTCTTCCATACCAGCGCGTTCAGGTTCAGCGGGTTGCCCTGTTTTTTCTTTCCCTCTTTCAATTGATGATCATCCCCTGTTGACACCTGCGAGGCTGTTTTCTTGGACAAAATGTATCAAAGAAAGCACAATTTGGTGCTAGGTACCACTTTCTTGACAAGGCAGACTGCACTTCTGCTTCGGACTCCCTTGGCTGGCCAATCCACAGGAACTGGGTGACATCTTCCACCCTGGACAGTTTGAGGAACTGTTTCTCAAGCCCCCTATCATCTGTTTCTCCTTTGAATGGCTTGATCTCAATGCCACAAGATGGCGAACATCATCCACCCAAACTAGCCTCTTCATGTTGCACTTAGCAAGCTTGGACATCCTTGACAAATCCCTGTCACCACCTGGTGCAATCTTTAATTTACCTCGCTGATCAGATGCGCAAATGCAGTCACAGAATCATTAACATGATTTGAGTCTGATGTTAGATTATGATTTCGTATACCTGGGCCTCTTGAGTTTTTTCTGCAAATGAATGTGTCATCTAGATCCAGCACCTGTCCATTCCTTCCCGCAGCCCCCTAATCAGGATTCCTCTTCTTGCATCCACCATCCATGGCACTTACACTTTTTGGTTTGCTTAAAGCCAAAGCAAAATATGCCTAAATTTTCTAGGATATTCTACCATCTACATTTCAATTAATACTAGCAAGGAATCCAGCTCCGCTGGAATAGATAGAACATCTGTTATATAGGTGACATGAATCCTAAAGAATTAGTTGTTTGTTTTCATCATCCAAGTAGTGATGATGTATATTTATTATTCATATATATATGTATATATATATATA